CCCAGAGGAGAAATGGGGGGAAAAGGGGGTCCCAGGAAAGGACTAGGGTTGGGGGAAGGAGTCTCAGGGGAGGAAGGGGGGGAAGAGGGGTCCAGGGATGGACTGGTGTTGGGGGAGGGGTCCCAGGGGAGGATCTGGGAGGAAGGAGGGGTCCAGGGAAGAACTGGTGTTGGGGAAGAGGTCCCAGGGGAGGAATCAGGGGAAGGAGGGGTCCAGGGAAGGACTGGAGTTTGGGGTAGGGGTCCCAGGGGAGAAATGGAGGGAAGGAAGGGTCCCAGGGAAGGACCAGGGTTGGAGGAAAGGGTCCTAGGGGAGGAATCGGGGGAAGAATGGGTCCCAGGGAAGGAGGGGTCCAGGGAAGGACTGGAGTTTGGGGTAAGGGTCCCAGGGGAGAAACGGGAGGAAGGAGGGGTCCCAGGGAAGGACCATGGTTGGAGGAGGGGGTCCCAGGGGAGGACTCCCTGCGGCAAGAGTGTGCAGGGAACGGCCAGCGTTGTGCAGGGAGTGGTCTCTGGACAGCACAGGGGGTGAGTCAGGGTCAGAAGCTCACAGTGAGGCCAGCCACCAGCGCCCCCTGCAGGAGGCCAGCAACGACGTCGCTCCAGTGGTGTTTGTGATCAGACACGCAGGTGTAGCCCACATAGAGGGCAAAGGCCACCAGGAAGAACTGGACCGTGGGCCGCAGCAGCCGCGCCCACTTCCAGCAGAGCCGCGCCTGCACGTAGAGCTGGGACGGGAGAGGGCGCCTCAGACTGTGCCCTGCCAGGCACTCCCACGCCCACTGCACAGATGGCAGCTCCGAGGCCGGGGTCACAGAACCGGCCAGCCCAGGGCGTCCTGTCTTTACAAACAAGTCAGTGAGCGCCCCCATCACCACCACGACCCACCCATTTTACAGCTGGAAAAACCGAGATCCAGGGAAGGGAGTGACTTGACGGGCGAGCCCCAGAGAAACGGACTCACCGCCAGGAACACTACGCAGTACATCCCAAAGGAGGCGTGTCCCGAGTAGAAAGACAACCTGAGGAAGGAGAGGCAGCAGGCCGGAGGGCAGGTGGCTCACTCGGCATCTTCCAACCTCCCCTCGCCCCCATCCCTCCCGCAGAAGGGATGGTTCAACACGGGAGCTGCCAACGTTACAGGCCACCAAATCCCAGGAGCACAGGCTGCTCAGTTATCTGATGATGGAATCAGAGTCTCCAGTTGGGGCTGTGGCATAAGACGCCTCACCCGTGAAGACTCTGAGGCCTGAACCCAACACCCAGGGCAAACGGTAGTGTCCAGCAAGCAGGCAATGCCGGTTTCGTTTTCACCACGTTTCTTTTGAGCATTTTCTCCCATCTGTGGAACTGAGGGGAGATTTATTTTTATATAAATTTGAGATTCCGTGAAGGACATGAATGAAACACAGAAAACAGGAAGCAACAAAAAACTGGCAAAAAAAGTCACAATTTTTTTTTTTTTTTTTAAGACGGGGTTTCACCGTGTTGGTTAGCCTGGTCTTGAACTCCTGACCTCAGGTGATCTGCCCACCTTGGCCTCCAAAGTGCTTGGATTACAGCGGCGAGCCACCACATCCAGCCACAATCAACTTTTTTGGACCTAATCAAAAGCTTGCAGTAAACAGAGGAACACATGATTAATATAATCCAGTTGAGGCTGGGCACATTGGCTAAGGCCTGTAATCCCTGCACTTTGGGAGGCCAAGACAGGCGGATCACAAGGTCAGGAGATCGAGACCAGCCTGACCAACATGGTGAAACTCCGTCTCTACTAAAAATACAAAAATTAGCCAGGTGTGGTGTCACATGCCTATAATCCCAGCTGCTCGGGAGGCTGAGGCAGGAGAATCACTTGAAAACCTGGGAGGTGGAGGTTGCGGTAAGCCAAGATCACGCCACTGCCTGGGCGACAGAGCGAGACTCCATCTCAAAAAAATATAAAGATAATCCAGTTGGATCTCAGAACAAACAGCTTTGTGGCTTTTTAACTCATCCTGGTCCCTCTCCCACTGCCTAGACTGTGGTGGCCTGAGGGTAACAGACCACATGCCCAGCACAGGTTCCAAGAAGGGGCCTTATTTGCAACTGCGACCTGGGGTATATGGCTCAAGGGCTGGTCTTGATCTCACCCAACTGGACATTCTCCCAGTGCTGAGGTGCTACCTGGAGGACATTTGTAGGAAACGTTTACAACAAATTTGTTAGTCTCTGCTGCCTGAGGGCCACAAGAGCAGATGAGGCAAAAAACAGATGAGCCAAACAGCGTAGGAGGAAAGGCCAGGGAATAAAACGCTCTGGGGAATGAAGGTTTGGAACCTACAAGACCAGAGCGGTCTAGCTCTGCACAAGCAGGAAGTGAAAGTGAAGGCAGAGAAAACCTGTTTCACCGTGGAAGGGATGACCCCACAGCCACGCAGACCCCTTCTACAGACTCGGGAGTGTGTTGTGGGTTTTTTTTTTTTTTTTTTTTTGGTTCCAGATGTTTAAAGACATCTCTGTCCTATCACTAGCTGACCACCAGGCTAAAAGAACAAGAGGAGATGGCCAATCATGACAAAAAACAGAGACTTCACAATCAGAAAAGTCATTAAATAACCACTGCAGCAAACAGTAAGAACACACCCCGGGGAGGAGGGAGACTCCTATTTCCAGAGTGACCGCATTATAGTATTCTAAACACACAGTTTAAAACAAAATAAAATAGGTCGGGCGCAGTGGCTCACGCCTGTGATCCCAGCCCATTGGGAGGCTGAGGCAGGCAGCTCGCCTGAGGTCAGGAGTTCGAGACCAGCCTGGCCAACGTGGTGAAACCCTGTCTCTACTAAAAGTACAAAACTTGTCCAGGTATGGTGGTGCATGCCTGTGATCCCAGCACTCAGAAGATTAAAGCAGGAGAAGTGTTTAAACCCAGGAGGTGGAGGTCGCAGACAGCAAAGATTGCACCACTGCACTCCAGCCTGGGTGACAGAGTGAGACTCCGTCTCAAAAAAAACAAAGAAAATAGGTCAGTTAAGAGTATTCAGCTGGGCCAGGCACAGTGGCTTATGTCTGTAATCCCAGCACTTTGGGAGGCTAAAGTGGGTGGGTCATCTGAGATCAGGGGTTCAAGACCAGCCTGGCCAACATGATGAAACCCCATCTCTACTAAAAATACAAAAAATTAGCAGGATGTGGTGGTCCATGCCCATAGTCCCAGCTCCTCAGGAGGCTGAGGCAGGAAAATCACTTGAACCCAGGAGGCAGAGGTTGCACTGAGCCAAGATCATGCCACTGTACACTGCACTCCAGCCTGAGTGACAGACAGAGTGAGATTCTGTCTCAAAAAATAAAATTAATAAAAATAATAAAAATGAAAATACAAAAATTAGCCGGGTGTGGTGGTACACACCTGCAATTCCAGCTGCTGGGGAGGCTGAAACAGGAGAATTGCTTGAACTCAGGAAGTGGAGGTTGCAGTGAGCCGAGATCAAACCACTGCACTCCAGCCTGGGCAACAGAGCCAGACTCCATCTCAAAAAAAACAAAAACAAAACAAA